GGGGGGGGGGGGGGGGGGGGAGTTCGAAGTACATCTCAGTCGTGAATCCTTTAGCCTTTCGTAATGCCGATCATTGGTTCCCGAGTGTGCTCAGCTGTGTACTGCAGATTAATTCGTGCATAGTGCTTCCTAATCGTTTTTCACAGCAAGGCTCATCGTGTGAAGACACCGCCACTTATCGGGCGTACAGTCTTTACTTTACGTGCGCGTTGGCAGTATCGCTCACAGTCGGAAATATTGATCAACTTAGCAGCTGTTCACTAAACAAACTAGTTGAAAAAGTGGCCAATGTCAAATGGGTTACTGGCTCTTTTGACGTCAATCAAACAAGATACTCCATTCCTGGAATTTGTACAACGTCATATTCTCTTGGTCAAACTCTTTGGTAATGCAAAGTACGAATTGTTCTTTGAAGTAAAGCGATTTATAGCGTGACTGGCAAGAAAAGTTCTATCTCCTTACCTGGCTAATTTTACTATCTTAAATTTTGTGAGTGTTGAACAGGTACAACGACATTGAAAATAATCAAAAGAGCATTTCCGCTCAAATTGAAAACCATGTGGGCAGGGACGAAATTCCCCGGCACGAAGGGAACTGAGTTCGATATATCCAATTTATAATAATGTACCGTCGTCGGTGAAGGCATGGGGAGTTTTTGTTACATGCCCGAAAAAGAATGCCGCCCTACATCCTGTTTGATCATATTGAGGAACGGATTCGAAACTTAGAATTAAACTTCGTAAAATTGAACATATCAAAACGATGCCCTTGACATTCATGCTTTACTCCCTTTAGGGCATTTACTGCTCCAGGGAGATGAGCCGCACAAGGTTTTTCTTTTTAGGACATTTAGATCAATGACTGACTTGGACGATACAGCGGCCATCTTCGCCAGGGGGCAAAACAAAACCAAGATGACGAAAACTATAGATAGAGTTTCGTGTGTTTGTCTTTCGTTTATGGGTAAAGTAAAGGTGATTGATGTGCCGTCTTATTTTATATACCCTGTATAAGACGGACGTTAAAGATCCACTGAAGACGCTGGCGGACGACCATCTTCAGTGCCCGTGCTAACCGGCTGCCTTATCAATTGGGCCGCAAGGCCTGTAAGGCATCAAGCCTTCCACCTAGGAGTGCTAAACGCACTAAACTAAACTAAACTAATGTGATATAGCCCAATAAGATGAGATATAGCCCAATAAGACGATATAGCCCAATAAGACGATATAGCCCAATAAGATGAGATATAGCCCAATAAGACGAGATATAGCCCAATAAGATGAGA